AGCACCAAAGCGTTTATCAAATCAAGCGATCGCGAGCTACCGTGTAAGTTTGTCGCTGGCCCCCATGTTGACTGAGCTTTTGTTCCGATGACGTGTGTCAAAGATATAAGACGGATACAAAAAACAAAGAGAGCCTTTGATGAATTATAGCATCGCTGAGTAAATATTTGTGTACCTTTCAATTTAACGACCCAAGTCTTCAATATTATATAGACTCGTATTAAAGAATAAAGTAAGGGTGTGGCTTCTGACTAAGCTGTTCTCTTTAGTTTTCAATAACAGATGTACTTAAGAAAACATTACCAATGGAAACATTTTAGAATGTTATAGGACGAATGTTTCGAACGCTCAGTTCGTGGTCATTTTCGATCATATACTATTATTGTGTAAATTCCAAATAAAATTCGTCATAGTATTTTAATTTAAAATAATTAGATTAAAAGGGCTTAAGAGTTTGTAGTAGATACTGAGGATAATTAAACCTAATCATATAACAAGGAGGTTGATAATGGAACTTTTTAATGAAGTTTTGAAGGCATAATATATTCTTATAAACCACTAGCAACTCACCCTCGCTTCGCTCTTGTTCGTCCCTAGGTTGCTTCACCATACAAACTTTCATGCCCATTTTCACCCCCTTAAAGGATAATTTCCGGGATAAAATTTATACTATGTCCTTCCTAAGATCTCAAACTATCTTCTTCTTCTAAATTTCTTCTAAATCAGTATAGTAGTTTCGGACTTTATTCGGTACAAACAAACAAACTAATTTAAATATTTCCTCTTTATAATATTAGTATTTAGATAATAATATTCTTTTATTTTTAATAATAACTCGCAAAATACAAAACTTTTCTAAACGTTAACATAAAAACCGTCGAATATCAAGTGCGTATATTCCTTTCCCTAACCAAATGTAATCATGTTTCCAATGCAAGTAGCAATCGTATCTCACCGTCAATGATTAGCATTCTGGAAGCAGTTCAAACATTTTTTGTGAAACTAATTTACATAGAGAAAACTTTAAAAAAGTAATTGTTCACCTCACAATGTAGGAAACCTTTAACTTTTATTATATTTTTAACTTAACAGTAAATAATTACAAATAATCGGTCAAATGCGAGTCGAACTAGCACACAAAGGACTCTTTCTATACCATATTTTTTTAATTTGCATGTTTTTAGTATTTGTTGTTATAGCGACAATAGAAATACATACTCTGTGAAAATTTTATCTCTACCTATTATGGTTTATGAGATACAGACCCCTTTGACGGACGGACGGACAGCAAAGGCTTAGTAATTGGATTCTGTTATCATCCTTCGGATACGGAACCTTAAAAAATATTTACTTGCAGAAAGGATTTGAAGGCTTCATAAAAGTAAGCCCTGTACCTACGGATATCAAACATATAATATCTGATTCAATAATTGGTTAATGCCACATAAAAAAACTCCATATTATTTTAGATGACTATTTAGTGATACATATAAAATAAGTAAACAAAGGCAGATTAAAACATTTAATATTTATCTATATTTTTGTTTAGATAGTTGTGCTTGTGATATTATTGAATATCAACAGCATCGTACACAAATTATCCCCAAAAGACCGCAGAAATTTAGTCTTCCTTCGTTATATACACTTTTCTTATACCTTTTCTCTGCCACGACGTTATTTGCGTATGGAATCGCTATTCCTCGAGTTACTAAACTCACATCAAAATGTAGATGAGAAAGAATTACATAGTCATGACATTTTTGTACGTGGCGCTTTGGAATACGTATTACTTTACGTACGTACGTTTGTGATTACAGCTTGTTCCATTGAAATTTTCATGATAAACGCCTTACGGGAAAATTCAAAATTTAACCTATGTTTAAACACTTTATTTATTATTATTATAGTATTTCAGTAAAGCAATAAATCTATAATATAAAAATGAATAGCTAAATGTGTTGCTAAGCGCAAATCTCGAGAGTAGCTGCACCGATTTCGCTAATTCTTTTTTTTAGAATATTCCTTGAAGTACGAGGATGGTTCTTACGGAGAGAAAAATTAAAAAAAAATCCTGAATAAGTCTAAAAACAACACTTTTATATACTCCCATACAAAAGATTCGTAAAAATACTTAAAAGTCAATTTGAACTTTAATAACATACCATAAAGTTTAAGTGTTAGTGGAGAGGTTCCGGGAAGGCAAAACAATTGAGTGACGTTAGTATCGTATAAATATTAATGTCAATATTTGTCAATATTTATACGATGGTAACATTACTCAAAAACAAATCTATACAGATAAATTAAATTGAAGTGTTTGTTTGAAATGTCAAAATAACAGCTTTTTACTAAATACATATGGATGTATACATGATGCATATACCAAAACAACGTTTTTTACAATTTTTATCTGTCTGTCTGTCTGTTTGTTCCGGCTAATCTCTGAAATGGCTAAACCGATTTTGACGGGACTTTCACTGGCAGATTGTTGATGTAATCAGGAGTAACTTAGGCTACTTTTATTTTAGAAAAAAAATAGTGTCCCCACGAAAAAAATATAAATCAATGAAAAATTTTATAATATCCTATTCAAATAGGGAAGTTGTATACATATCCTAGGGACAAACCCGAGCAAAGCAAGGGTGAGTCGCTAGTTAATTATAACAACGTCTTTTTAAACTTACCTTGCTAAGTATCTGTACAGATCACATAATACTATACTAGGTATCTGTACTAAAGAATACTGACACTTATTTCATATATTTTTTTTGATTCTGTCGAAATTGATTTCAGTTAAATTTATAATAGAACTATCATGATCCTTTGTTTGAAGTTGAAAACAATTTAGCCCCGAAGCATCACTGAGTTGGAGAATAATATCGACGTCTTAGATAAAGACGCCATTAAGCAATAAACTATTTTATATCTGACGCTGAGATTTGAAGTACGGACGGGTCGAGTGCCAAACTTTTAAAAATATAATGTTTCCGATACATAAAACCATCCAGTGATATTTGCGCTGGCGACAAGACGACATTTGGGGCGGTATCGGTTGACAATAAAGGCCTTTCGGGTGATAAAAACTGATCTGCAAGTTGGTCGGGAGCATGAAAACAGATCCTTGGACGACCGCCAAGCTACCTGCAATACGCACCCTCTGCGTGCATTTTACGCCAACTTCACACAAAATATGTTTACATGGCGTGTGATAAGATTTTCGTGTAATTTCTATATTCTCGGTAATCTAAAGCGAAAAACCTTATTCGAAAAGCTTACATATTAATTAGATAAACAAATGTATGTTTAGTAACATATTGTTTTGATGATGACATAAATTATATACTAAGTATATGTATGTCGTCTGAATAAAAAATACTGTCAAAAATAAAAATTATCTGTTTGTTGTTATGTTAATTCATAAAAGAGGCACAAACCAGCAATAATACTGTAACAATTACAATATTGGTGAGTATTCTTCTATAATATCTATACAAATATTATAAAGAGGAAAGACTTGATTTTTTGTTTATTAGTTTTTTTACTGAATAGGCTCCGAAACTACTGGACCGATTTAGATGAAATTTGGTAAGAAAACAGGTTGAGGCCCTGGAAATAACATAGGATAGTTTTTATACCGGAAATCATCCTTTAAGGGGGTGAAAATGGGGATGAAATTTTGTAAGGGGATGCAATCTAGGGAGGAACCCGAGCGAAGCGAGGGTGAATCGCTAGTGTATTATAATCTAATTCTGAGGTACCCTACATTATGCAGGTTATTCATCAAATTCTGACTTTTGGTACATTTTTTACAGCACACAAATACGATAGCAATAAAGATACGTTAGCCGTATTTTACGTATACAGATGTTATAAACATTCCCACGTAATAAAAAACAGACGCGCGCATAAAAGTATTTCGCAGAGAGCCTTTCGTGTCACAACTATTATGAATAGCTTAAATAACGGTGCATTGTATATGATTTAGTTACAATTTAGCACAGCGAGATAAAACACTGTTCCTGTTTTATTATTTTTACCTAACTTTTTAAATAATTAAATTAATATAAACTCTTTATTAAGTTTTAAAATAGTTTTATCCTTATATTATCAGATTTGAAACCTTATAAGCTTAATTCAGTAGAATTCAATATAAGTAAACCATCGTACTTTTTATAAAATTATACAGGTCTCTCCCAAAACAATGATTGCTGTAAAGCATTCGAAATGTCGGGAACCAAAAATCAAAATAAATCTGCGAAAAAATGGGAAAATATACCTATAATTAAAATTTCAAATACTCGCGTAAATCTAAGAAAGTATTAGTATTATTTCCTGCCTCTACTACTTTTAATCACTACATAATATAAAACAAAGTCGCTTCCTGCTGTCTGTCTTTTCCTATGTAATATGCTTAAATCTTTAAAACTACGCAATGGATTTTGATGCGGGTTTTTGTAATAGATAGAGTGATTTAAGAGGAAGGTTTATATGTATAATACGTGCATATCATACTTACCGTTAAAACGTACCTAGGGACGAACACGAGCGAAGCGAGGGTGAGTCGCTAGTTAAAAATAATTTTTAATTTAAAATTTTTTTTTGGATCAACTATAAATAAGTACCTAGAATAATGAAAAAGGTTAACAGCTCATACGATTCAAAGTTATCCTTAATGTAACATGCGTGTTCAAACACCGATAACAGTAACAAACGGGGTTTAACTTGCATCTGCACGTAAATAGTTCCACAAGTTTTGACTCTTTGCTGTTAGTAGCAAGCGTAGCCATTGTACCGGCGCCAGAGAGACGGGCTGCGATTGTCAATCGTTTAATGGCTTCCGTCATTATTAGATGCGAAGTTTCTATAGGTAAGAGACTAAAAGTTGGGTGATTTTATTTTATGATTCTCAGAATTAAGGACTTTGTAGATGCAACCAGAGTTTGTTTATTAAAATTTATAAATAGTTAGAATCTCTTGTTATAGACGATATAATACCTCTCATGTTCGAGCCTAAAGGTTTGTGTAGTCGGTATGCAGAAAGCGCGACGCGCCTACAGCTGCAAATATTACACCATTTGTCATAAAATGTTTTGCTTCAACTATGCACTCTATTCTTCTACAGCATACTTTTGAAATAACATTTATGATAAAATAAATAATCGGAGAATATGTATACACTGTTGACCTTACTTCAATATAGGTTTAAAGAATTTATTTCCAAAAAGAATTACAAAATATTCACTTATATGAGAAACAATATTTTTGCTTAAATACTAAACATTAAAATTTTGAGCGCATTTTATAAAAATGAAAAAGATTTTTAGCTTACAGAAACAAAAGATTATATGCAATGATATAATAAAAAGAGGAAAAATGTCATTTATTTAATAAGTAATAAAAAATATATAACACTCATATCACTGCTGCAAGCTATAGAAACAAATTATACAGTTTTGTTTTTACTGGAAGTGGCTAAAATTATTTATAATATGAAGTTTTAATTTTTTTTGAATATACATATGAATTTTGCATTTTTTATTTCGGATGGTAATTTATTATATATCTGTGCCCCTTCAAACATAATAATTGAATTATATCTATATTAGATTTAGCTGCTGCACCCCATATTTGAATCAAATAGTTTATGTGAGGTTTAACTAAAGAATTATAAATATTATAGTTTTGAATAGACTTTAGATACTTGTATACATTAATTATCTATTTATAATGTCTCGAAATCACAACATAATCTAACTAAATTGAGCAGTCGTTACACGGCCCAAATAATAATGAAATTCAAAAACTTTATTTAATTTAACACTATAAAAAATGGCCTTGAAATTTTTTAACAAAACTAAATCAAGCGTGTCCAAGGAATCGTAACGAATGAAACCAATCAGGCATAATTCCTTTGAAGATTTCCCACAAAAGATAAAAGTCCGCAATCTCTTTGGTACACTTTTTATTCACCGCAAGATTGTACTAAAGCTGATTCAATAAGAAGTCGCTCATTTACTTAGCCGTTTAGAAGTTATTAACTATAGTACTGGAATTCACCTTTTATTAAAATGATCTGCGTCTAATTGTTGTGAATACATAAATGTAATTTTGTAAGTCTAATTTGCTTCTTTTATATTTTCCTCTCGTGGTGCGACGATAGAAAACGTATTTTTTCTCTCATCCGAGTATTTTATAAATATAAAAATTAGCAAATTTATCTTAATTCAAGCTTAACTATGTCAGCACAAAAAAGATTTATTTGGAAGAGCCTCAAAAAACACGCATTACCACCTGAATGCAAAGACTTTGCTAGAAGCTTTTTCTGTCATGTTTTATTGCGAAACGTATCACAAACGCAAATACAATGAGAGACGACGTAAAATATTTGTGAACGTACATTGCTTAAGATTTGCGGATTAAGCTCGGGGATACAAGAAATTGTGATAGTAAGAAACGCTTTTAGCCTTCGTAATTTCAAATTTCCTCCAATGCAGCCGACACGTCCAATATTTCTGAAAGATCACTGGCGATTTACTTGTTAAATCCAACTTTGGGTTCTCTAATCCTATCTTCATAACCGGAGATCCATCAGTCGTCATTAAGCGGACATGCGCCGCCTCTCCCTTGGTCTCATTGTGCTACGTATATCCCTTTCACCGTCGTACCTGAGGGAAGCAAGATTGATAAGGCCACGCCACACTGCGCTCTGACAGCTTGTTATTGAAAAATTGAGCGATAATCCCGGTGCGCTGTTGTTTAAGATTTTTGTTTTTTACACACCGAATTTTTTCCAACGCTTTTAGCGGATGGAAATTGAGTGGATTTCTGTTTACAGAAAATGTTTGGTTGGATTTTATTCGTCGCTTGTTTTTAGGATCATAGAGTATAGAGTACGAGTGCGTGCGCCCTCATTCAATTAGAAATATTTACTTTCAATAGTGCACCACTAGCTAATACTCAAAAGTGATTGCTTATTCCTTAATGAAACTGATGGCATAATATTGAACTTCACTGATTTTTATAGATATATGCATTTTATTAAAAAAAAAAACAATCTCGTAGACAATACTTATACTTATTTTTGGCTGTCTGACTGGCATTAAGTATTTCGCTGCGTTGTTTTAAAATAGATTCCATTCCTATTGGACGAATTTGGATACTGACGGTATATATTCTTATCCCGGCAGCGTGGAATTGGGTGCCGCCTGCTAGCACTAAACGTCTTACTATCGATAAAAATGGAAAATATAGTTGCAAGTCATCACTTCTTTTAAAATTCGAGGAAAATTCCAAGATATGCAACATACAATATATGTATTATATACATATACTTCAGCAGTATTTTGGTATAAGCAATCGAGCCGAAAATATAAACAGAAACTAATCAAAAACTAGGTCCGTAAGCGTAACGTTTAATCGAAGAACCCGTCTATTGTTCTACAACGAGGTTACTTCATCCTTTACGCGTAAGAGTCCCTTTGTTAAGTATTCAGATGTATGCAAATTACATTAATATGACGTGACATTTTGAACAAGGCGACACGCTGGTGCGACAGTTTCCTAAAGGATTATTTTCCTTGATAGTTCCATTTAATGTAGTGATCCTTTAGAATTGATAATATAACTATATTCTAGCTAAATTTAATTAAAATTTTGAATACTGAGATTAATTTAATATATACTTATTGCGTTTTTATTTAACCGATGTGTAAATATTACAAGATATTAAACACTTTATATCTTGTTTATATTATAAAAATGTTCTGGACCGAAAAATATTTCCGAAAATTAATAAATAATATATAAATCTATCTTATATAGTGTAATGGATTGAATAAGTAGGATTGGGTACTGTGCTAAGGGTAGCGGAACTAAGAGTAGAACAGACCAATGTTTCTATATATACTTACTATATAGATTGCACAGCATTAATTTCCACAGCTCAAAACAAACATAAGAATACCTACGCTAAAAGAAATGAATGAAGAACGGTGATATGTCAATAAGTTCTTTTTACCAACCCCGTAAGGAAGCGAAGAATATAAAATACTTAACTCACTCTGGAATTGAGTTAAATGATTCATTTTTTCTTTTCTTTTAAGGACCGAGACCTGAGAAAAATTAAAATGTGCATACTCGTATATCGGTCATCTTACACTATGCCAGGAATATTAAGGTACTAGTTACTGACTTACCCTCACTTCGCTCGGGTGCGTCCCTCGGTACGTGTACATAGCGTTGCTACAGAGTTTAATAGGACGAATCTTTTTAAGAGGAATAATTCTGTAATACATTGTTTTCATATAACTCTATTAGTTTACGCGGCGCACGACAATAAAGCTACCATTCGGTATGATTTTTTCCGACATCATCAACAATCATCGTCATATTTCAGCCAATTTACACAAAACCTTAATAAATTATACACCTAAACCTTTCTTATGAATAACTCCATATATAGGTAGGAACCGTATGAAAATCCGTTAGGTAGTTTTTGAGTTTATCGCGTTCAGACAAACAGACGCGGCGGGGGACTTTATATAGTAATATGTATTGAAAATAAATATCTTATATGTATATATATTCTATTGTGTACCTATTTCAAATTATTTTTTTCTCTTTTCAGGTTGCGCCTTCGTCAAGTTTAGTTCACATCAAGAAGCGCAGGCGGCCATCACAAGTCTGCACGGCAGTCAAACTATGCCGGTAAGTGTATTTAAGACTTATACAATATACATACATTCATATGTTTTATAATATTAACATTAAGAAATATTTAAAAAAAAGTCTTTACAGTATTTTGTACAATATAAATCTATTTTAAAGTTAAGAAGAATTATGATTTTGCTATGTTTATTATTTTACATAAAAACAAATATGACATATTGATATACTACTTATCAAAATATTTTAATTATACAAATGTTAATACACGTAATAAAAACTTCAAGGAATTAACTCAAAATCACATAATCAAGTGGTCGATATGTTCTCAAAATTTGGGTCGAATTAACAGAACAATATATAACACCAAACTAAAACACAGTTAAAGTAGAGTTTGGACGGTGTTTGGAACATTCTAACTTGTTTGTATCTTGCTTTATACCGCATATGTCAAGTTAATAGCAAGGTTTAGTCAGCTAACAACGAATGCCGTTAATGTAGCTACCTAATGGTTTAGCAGTTCTGAGAGTCGATTAAAGTATAAACTACTATTTCTATTTCGATATTACTTTATCTGCTTGCTAACTCTTATTTGATTTAATATACACAACGTAATTTTGCTGGCTATATATTTTATTTATATATAAAAATAAATGTATGTCTGTTTGTTACGCTTGCATATCTGAATCATTCTTCCGGTTGTGATGAAACTTTCACGAGTTTATAGCTTGGTTCTCCAACGTATGTTGGCGCGCGTGATACACCTAAACAGGTCACTGCAAAAGAAAATAAAACATACGTTTAACAACTTACGCATCTAGCTTTCGTATTTTTAATTGGTTCCATATTCATTGAAGGAAAAATATTGTGATTTGAAATAATAATTTGTTACCCACATATACATGATATTTATCATATTTTCAAAACTATACAATAATTATAATTAGCTCAGAAATATTAGATTTCAGTCCCAGATTTCTTCCTTACATAAACACTATTATAAAATTTTAAATATGTATGTAATTTTATGACATAACATGTCTTTTATTATGAAAAGATTGTATTTCATTCCAAATTTTTTTCCAAACAGTAGATATCTACAAACAAACAAACACAGTTGTGTTTGTTTCTTTATAAATAAACAAACACAAATGAACAAAATCGGGGCAAACTGCACATATTGTAGATGTAACTACGTCATGCCTTTGTTACTCTCTGTACGGACACGGTTTGGGGAGGTTGAGCAAAAAGTCCTAAAATTGACTGTCCCGGGCAGCCGCTTAAGTTTTAATTAGCGGTTGTTTCCATGTACTGTATGTAGACTACTGTTATCGAACAAATTTGAACTTTTCCTGAAAATTCCACTATTTCAGCAACATTTTTAAATCTGAGCTAACGAATTAAATTGAAAATTAAATAAAATATTTTCTACTACTCTAAATGCAATTATTATTTAAAAAGTTCAATAAACATATAAAAGTACATCAAATGATCTTTTTGAACATTTCTTGGCGAAAACAGAAACTACAATACATATATAAGAAAAACATTCACGATTATTCATAAATCAATAACCCATTAACGAAGTTAATCCTACATGCTATAATATTCTACTTACGTCATATTTTCCCTTTTTCATCCCTGGTATTAATTCTGCAAAGGCTATGTAACTCTGCCGCGTGCAATCGAAAGAAGCCACTTTGCTTTGCAAGATTATTATGGCAGTGGTTATGAAATATTCTTTCTTTGTTCTTTTAAATCTTATCTGTTTTATGGATACTACAATATGAACGTTTAAAGATTCTCTGAGAATTTGTTTTATTTATACATATAATAAAATTTTAACTGAATAGAAACTGTACATAATTTTTTTTTAGTTTTTTTAAATAGTCATTATTATCGATACAGATGCCGAATCTTCAGTTTTTAGATTTTTTTCTGTCTGTCTGGAAACGCATCAGCAGAAAACCTCTGAACAGATTTTAATAAAATTTGGTACGACTATAGCTGATGATCCGGGTCAACATATAGAATACTTTTAACTGCGGGAAGATATCTCATCTCTGAGAAATCTTAATACTAAACGTTAAACGTAACTAGGAACGAAATATGTTTCCTGAACGTAGGTACGTGTTATTAAAAAATGGATAAGTCCAGTTTACTCTGGTAAGATATTTATCGTTTTATATGACTAAAAATGACGTAACCACGCTTCGCTCTGGCATTGTATTTACTAAATGTAATCTATTGTTGCTCAAAGTCATACACTCCATGTGCACTAAACAACCAAATCCGTCCAGCCGTTTCGGTGTTTAGGAGTAATAAACGTAGATACACACACATTTAAACTGTAACAAATTGTACGCTTCAATCATATTTTGATGTGTTAACGACATTTTAAAAATAAGTATCTATAGTTGTAAATATGTAATATAAATATTTGTACAAATAACTTACTAAAAGTAAAACAAATGTCACTGAATTACTTTTAATTATCTCATGGACCAAACCTTCAGAGCATTTATCAAATATTAATGAACAATATATTCGGCCTCCAATTCGAGAATCAATATTTTGGGAAAATACAAGCTTACTAGGAGGAAGGCAGACAAAAACGTCATTAAGCGGAGTACCAAATCCGAAGGGCGGTGCTTTGTGTCGACGCCGTTAAAGGAATTATCGGGCCGAATTCTATTCCCGTTGCCTTGCAGCTTTACTGATAAAATTTGCTATAGTTACAGTATTAAATGTTAAAGGTTGTATTCGTGAACTTGCAATCGCCTTTGACTTTGTTTGTTTCTGACCATAGAAAAATGAATATATCATTTTATATTAGACGATTTATTAGTCGCGGCTCTAGTCGTCGCATTTCGAATTTCACATAACCCATGCAATAGCATGAAGGAGTAACAAGAAAATAATTACTGTGATTTTTGCACTATATTTGATTAATACTCAAACAATAAAATTTCATTCATTTCATCAATTCATGAATAAAAGAAACAATTTTATGTATATTATCGCTTAATATATTATATTATTTGATGCTTAATATAAATTTCATATTTTAGGCATTTAAATGGACAATACTATACGATTACGTGTCTAACGTTATATTAAAGACATAACCAGTTATTCCAAAAGCAGTTATCTAAATGCTGACCACGAAAATCTGGAGAATCTCACCGCTCCTTAGTTCCCACTTTAAAAAATGATAGTGCCGTTCCACGAATTCACTGTTTTTATAATTGGACTCTCGAAGGCCTTTTGCGTGCCTTATTAAGAGAAATTTTCTAGTGCCTGGGGACCAGGCTCCAGGGGCTGTTTTAACAATCTACCGGGACGTATATCAGAGCCTTGTTGGGATATTTTATGGAAACTATAAAGTTATTTCGTTTAATAACATGCCTTCGTAAGGGTCTTTTTTATGAGGTAACTAGATTAGACTCCTGTCTTTGCGACGCTGGACGGTTTGAATAAAACTGACCCTTTTCCGGTAATTACACTTTGGCTTTATATGACATTTTTTTAGCTGAATATTTATTCCTTCCTGCTTGAAAATAATTGTATGTTAAAATAATTTTGCACCAGATTTGATTTGTAATGGAGCTGACTTTAGTCCCTTTAATGTTTGCCAATTTATAATATCTCCGCTGTTAAATAAAAGTCCGAAGTGAACTCTTGTATTCGAATTATTGTACAAGTCAAATCTTGTACTCGTAATATGCAAAAATATTACCTTAACTAAGTCCGATAGGTAAGCTAGTTATGTAACAAGATAAAATAACAACAACATTTCGTACTTATGTTTATGACAGGTATACTAATTACGGCGCCGAGTCGTCTTCTTGGCGCATAGTTGGCTGGTGTCCAGGGTTTTGACCTTTACCATTTATTACCAGATTGACAAACTCATCCAACCCCTTAACCCGGACAAAGCCGTAAATTGTGATCGACCGCAATCAATTAATTTGCTTATAGCGAACACCACTGCCAAACCTAGATTGATATAGCCTGTGGAAACGGCTGAGCTTTATAATTTGTGGATAGCTGAATTAAATTACTCGATTGAAATATATAAAATTACAGAATTTTAGAAATTGAAATAAAATTAGATTATTAAAACTACTAGCACACCTTTCAATGTCCAAATAATTTTGCGCAAAATGAAATAACAGATTAACGAGAAATATCGATTATACTTCAGTTTAAAATATCTATAAAAAGTGTTTTTTTTTCTTGAAAAAAGAACAAATAGACAAGGAAATCAAAATTAGATCCAATATAGTTTTAACTTAACGTAGCTCATTTATATTAATTATGTAAATATTAATTTCACATAGTATTTTACAAGCAATTAATACGACGTTAAACAAAAAAATATTATAATGCTATAAGACTTTCCATTTTCATTAAAATGAAAGAATGTTTTCAATTTTAATTTTTCAGCTGTTACTTGATCTAAATAAATTTAGTTTAACTAAGACAATGTTAAAACGTCCAAAACGTCCAGAATAATTGGATTCCATTTTCTAAAAACTCGAAAGCCAAAGTAATCCTTGCAAAACTTTCGTTTTTTACATAAATTGACAGCTATGAAAGGCGAGATGGATCTCAAGATTGAAAGAGATTTAAAAAGATATCTTTTTTCACTTATCAGGTAAATTCTACAGATTCGACTTCATAAAGTTTATTCTATTCGAGTACCAGCAATTATCCGTGAATGCGAATCTGAATCGAAAGATAAGTTCGCTCTTTTAATGCCACTTAAAGTTTCAAATAATATTATATACTTGAGGGGATCGGTCGTAACGCTTTGATTTGAAAGCTATATAACTTCCTCAAAGTATGGCATTTTTAAGGCTTGTTTTAATGATTATTTTCAATGTGTGTATACAGTTACCGAAGACTTTATCTTACATTATATCCATGTTATCATTATTATTTTACTGAAACTCAAAATTTTCTAAAACTATAATAAATGAAAATACTGATATTTTAATATTCAATTCAACTAACCTTTTAAAGTAATTTGTTTCGCC